AGTTTGATAATGGGATAGAAAGGGGGTAACACGTGAGCAAAAGGAAAAGAGGACGACATAATACGCAGGAGAGCCGAGACGCATAACAGAAGGAAAATAAAATGAAAATAAAAGAAATACTAATTTCTCCTCATTTCTTATTCACGTCCCTCCCCTTTCCCCTTTCACTTCTAAAGAGTGGGAACAAAGGAAAATCAACATGAACTGCTTATGGTTACCCCTTTACCCTCTTTCTTCTCCCCCCTTCTTCCTTCCACTTTCCTCCCTTCCCCCTTTCCCCCCTCTAGCACACTGACTCGAGGCATTACAGAAACAGGTATTGAACAAGTTTCAGGCTGATGTAAACACCAATATTGGACCAACGAGGATTTTACTTAAGAGGAGAAAGAGAATGTGGGGCAAAGTTTACTGCTGCGGTCATTTGGTTTATGGACGACCGAGGCGTGGATCTGGTGTGAAAATATATTGGAAATGACGAAAACATTGGGAAAGCTGACATGTTTTGCTGTACCTGGAAGAGCGAGAGAAAAGAGAGGAGATCAAAGTCTCCAGTGAATTTGGAAAAAAATGAAGAATAATGGGTACGTGAGAGAGAGAGAGAGAGTGAGATAGATGATAGGATTAGATAGATAGATAGATTAGAGATGAGAGAGTAGAGAGAGAGAGAGAGAGAGAGAGAGAGAGAGATTGAGAGAGAGATGAGAGAAGAGAGAGGAGAGAGAGAGATGAGAGAGAGCGTATGAGAGAGATGGGGGGGGGTATAGAGTGAAGAGGAAGAGGGAGGAGAAGAGACGAGAGAGGAAAGAGGGTAGAAAGAGTTAGAGGAAAGATGGGATGAAGAGAGAGGAAGAAGGGAGGAAAGGAGAGGAAGAGGGAGAGAGGAAGGTTAGACAGGGAGGAAGGGAGTCAGGGGGAGGGAAGGGAGACTTATAGTCGGAGAGAGGGTTTGTATGAGAGAGAGAGTGAGACTGAGGAGAGAGAATGAGGATTCGATGAGAAGAGCATTTTGAGGGAGATGGGAGCATTGCGAGAGGTAGAGGAGGGAGAGGGTAGAGGGGAGGAGGGAAGGGAGATATGGGAGAGGGAGGGGAGAGGTCAGAGTGGCAGAGGGAGAGAGTATGAGAGTAGAGAGAGAAGGAATAGGGTTATTGCTTGGATGATCGTGGGAGAGGGATGAGAGAGATGACGAGTAGAGTCGGAGGAGAGAGTTATGAGCAGGAGAGAGAGAGAGAGAGAGAGAGAGATGATGAGAGACGAGGAGAGAGCAGAGATGAGCATGCAGAGTGAGATTGTCGTTTTGTATGATAGAGAGATCTAAAATAGATAACTCGTTGCTCGACGAGGCCGATGGTCCAGACGACGGAGAGGGACGTAAGACGTCCTTTTTGTAGGAGAGAATCATATTAGAAGCATAGGGCTCCACGTATACATTCTCGAGAAATGTCCAATTGTTCAGTGAGTTGGTCGTGGTGCGTGGTACAGGTTGGTATAGGTGGGGCAAGGGGAAAAGGAGAGAGGGGAGGAGGGGGAGGGGTGGAAGTTTTGCTGTGTATTGTTTAACGGGAGGCCTAGTTCGTATTGAGGTATGGGTTTTGTTTTGTCTTTGTTTTGTTGTTTGTTTTGTGTGTTTTTTGAAGTTTTTTTTTTTCTGACAGGGAGTGTTGTTTATGCGAGGGGTGTGATAGGTGTGGTTTTTGTATCATGGGGTACAGGGGAGGGGGAAGGGGGGAAAGGTGCTTCGTGTTTAGTCATCGTTGTGATTTGTTAGAGTGAGGGTTTAGTTATCTTGTGTTGTGGTAGTAGTGTGTTTGAGGTATACACGGTGTGTGTTGTTATTTTAGTTGAGTCGCAGTGGTTCATTGGTGTGTGTGTTTGGTGTGTGTGTAATGTTTTTTTGAGGGGAAGCAGGAGGGGGGAAAGGGGGAAGTGAGAGAGGGAGAGGGGGAGGGGGAGAAGACGGGGAAGGAGCAGAGGGGGTCGTGGTGGTAAGGACAGAGAGAAGGAGAGGGGGAGGGGAAGGAGAGAGGGAGAGGGGAAGGAGGGAGGATAACGGGAGAAGGAGCAGAGGGGGCGTGGTGGTAAGGACAGGGAGAGGAGGAGAGAGGGGAAAGGAAGAGGGAGAGGGGGAGGAGGGAGAATAACGGGAGAAGGAGCAGAGGGGTCGTGGTGGTACGACAGGGAGAGGAGGGGGGGGAAGGAGAGAGGGAGAGGGAGGGAGGATAACGGGAGAAGGAGCAGAGGGGTCTGGTGGTAAGGACAGGGAGAGGAGGGGAAAGGGAAGGAGAGAGGGAGAGGGGAAGGAGGGAGGATAACGGGAGAAGGAAGCAGAGGGACGTGGTGGTAGGACAAGGGAGATGAGGGAGGAAGGGGGAAGGAGAAAGGGAAAGGGGGAGATAGAGGGATCCTGAAGGAGGAGAAGAGGAGAAGGAGCAGAGGGGACAGGCCGAGGAGGCGGGAGGAAGAGGGAGACGGAGGGAGGGTAGAGGAGAATGAAAGAGGATGGGGGGGGGTAGGGAGTGGTCGGAACAGGACGGTGTGGTTCCC